TATAAACTTGGATGTCCGAATTACAAAATGTATCTGATTGGCCAACGACCCAATTTATTTTATTGTTAATACTTTTAGTAGGTAGATAATATTCATCCGTGTATGATAATAGTACACTTTGTCTATTATTTACACTTATAGTATAGTGTGTTATACAAATTACTTTGTAGCTTATCTAATATCTTTATACTATTATGTGTTTCTATTCCTTTCCACCACCTAGTACAGAGATACGCTATATATTTCGGTCGAGTAACGATGAAAATTGCCAAAAAATCCGATGAACCGTATCAACGAAACTAAAACTACTGTAAATTCTTATATACGTTTGATCTCCCCTCATAGGTACTTGAAAATCGACCTGTGAAACTTATTTATTTTACATGGTAGGTTATATAAATTGACCGCTAATGAGTTTGAATATTTCTATAATTCGGCTGCCATAATATTTTTCTTTGTCGCCCACATCATGTCACGCTCTACAAATTTTGCACATCTGTGATTATTGTGTATTTGTGTATACAATAATATGCCAGTTATATGTCTAAAAAAAAAATATAGTAAACAAATGAAGAGTAACGATTTAAGATTAGCAGAAAATATTAGCGTTGATAAATAACTATATTTTCAATAATAACAAACTGTTATTATTTATTACTGTTGAGATTCCTGCTGATATAAGAAGCAAGACTTATAAGATGAAAGAAAAATCTTGGTTAGGACATGATTAAATTAAAAATTCACAGTTGGAGAGCATAGGTATCTACTTACAACTTACAAGACACGCAAATCGCATATAATATGTACCTACACATATTATTATTAATTATATTTTATAGCTGGTACGAAGGAAAATGTATTAAATACTAATGAAAAGTTGCCCTGTTTTATGGTAATTAGTGATACAAACATAAATGTTTTCAAATAACTTTCATCGTATTATTTTCTCACTTAGGTGTTTAAACATTTATAAAATGAACTTTTAATATCATAATCAACAACTTCTATAGTAGCTTACGCGCTTATTTTTTTAATAACTTAAGTAGCCAAATCCATGGTAATTAATTTAATTCATCTTGATATCGAATAATTAAGATAAAAGTAACGGAATAAATAAATATTAATGAGTAAACTATCTTTTTGTATTTTTAAGGAATTACGTACCTACCAATTATTTTTTTTATTCTTTATATTTCATAGAAAAAATTTAGAGTGTCATTGTAAAATTATTTTGTAAATAGAAGAATTTAATTCGATGGAAAGTCGTATATTTCAGCAGTAGCAAATGTTAGTGGTTCCTGTGGCTGTCGAGACCTGTGGGCTGTGAGAAATATTCGATCGTTTATAAAACAGTCGGATACAGTGTTCCTACTCTTAGGGAAAACATTTGTATTATCAACAGTTTCTAGCCATTATTTTGGTGGTGAAGTTCGTCTTTTTTGAGATTCAATTACGTGCAGTAGATTGTTTATTCTGAATGCAATGTTAGTTTAATAAATTTCAAAAAGTCACGTGATAGTCAAGTAATACAATTAAAAATGTCTACATAATATATTATAAAATAGTAAATACAGTATAAAATGTAAAGTAGGCGAATGCATATTTTTAAAATTTCACATTTCTAAAATGGTAGTATTTTAATATTTGTTTGTTATAATTTAATTTAAAAAAATATACCTACCATTCATTATTATTATAGAAATAAAATTATTCTGGATAACAATATTAAATATCATATAAATTTACATACATACACTAAAACCTAAACGGTATAGTTTTAAAATGAATGTTTAATGTGTAGGTAATTAATTTTTGAGCGCGGCCAAGCATATTGTTAAAAACTAAAATCGTAAAGCGTAGTTTTGTTGCGAAAACAAAGTAAAAACGTATAATCATAAATCATGGGTTATAAATACTAGCATGAGTATAGTCTTACATTTTTTATTTGATGCAGATATTAGGTACTTGCAATTAGACCTTATAATGAAATGTAGATATTTATTTGGTTACGAGTTACTATTAGTCACACCGTCCGAAGTAAATATTTGTTTTATTTTTAATGCATTCTGCTTACTTACCTATTAAATCGACTTATCTTAATAGCAAGAAGCTGAGCGAGATGATACATATATGATTAATGTTGATTTACATCTTCTACAATTGAACTTTCACGGGAATAAAAATACTGTATCAAATATATATTCATTTCCGTTTGTACTACTGGTCGCTGTTCATAAACTCATAAATAATAATAAACAACAGTGTTCATATGTGTTTACCATTACATACAATAATGTTAAACAAAATTTTTGCCTGAAAATAATTTGGCCAAAAGGTTCAGGTGGGTCCATCAGTGTTAAAACTTTGTAATAAGATATGAAAAATTGGATGTTTCTGAGACGTGGGTCTGGAGAAAAAGTAATGGAACGATCTGGTGAGAGAAATGAATAATAGTGCTTAAAGAGTACACGAAAACGTATTAATCATCGAAAACATCAAAAACAGAAAAGGAGAATCGTAATGGTCACGTTTGCCGCTATATAATATTATGATGTCATGTCACTTAAAATCGATAATACTTCCGTGAATAATCAGTGTGTTAGCTGATATTACAAAAGCTGGCTCACATTCTCTAAATTATTAGGCTTAACTATAAATAATGACAAAATAACGATTTATAAAAGTTATTGGAGAATAATCCATAATCTTCATTCTACCAATACTGATTGTTCAGATTGTTGTTGTATTTGTGATGGATATTAGATTTTATTTTCATTTTTTTTTTTTGTTCCTATGAAGATTGATTGATTTACCTATCTGCATTTTTATGCAAAATGTTTTAATCGTCGTTTTTGATGAAAAATAACGTTCAATAAATTTCTTTTGTGATTTTGATTGGTTTGGCCTATATATATTCTTTTATGCCTGGAACTTATTGCTTTTTGTAATAACAATTTATTGTAAAGATATACACTTTTGAAGAAGTTCACTTTTGTAGACGAGTGATTTTTATTATTCATATTGAGTAAAAAATTATTATTGTTTTTTTTTCTAATTTATTTTTTTTATTAAGAAGTATAATACAACAATAAATTCCAATTCATGCAGAAGGAACAAAAGTTTTTGAAAATATTGCTTCAACGTTAAAAATTAATGAGAGTTTTATTTTTCAAGTTTGTTTTACTTTAATTTATAATTGGGATACCCGAGGGATATAATTTGGGTTTAGTTTTAAACGAACGGCGAAAACACTTGTAACAGAAGATAGCGTGATTAAAGAGTGTCCCCGACCCTAGCAATCGTTTATCGCCAGTGACAAAGTTCAATAAATAACTCAATTTTTAAACGCATTAAACATTTGTGTTTTCCTAAACTTCTATACATAATATATACTGTTATCGTAGTCACATTTATTGCGTATTCTTAAAAAATCAATTAAAAAAAAAAACAAATTCAGAATTTATCAAGATGTACAATTTAAACCTACAGACGTCGTGGTGAATGTCCTACACCGAACTCATTCGATTTATGTATTATAATTTATAACATACAGCCACTAAATATTATCCAACCAAGGTGTGGCTTAGTGCAGAACCGTTTTGTTATAAACAATATACTAATCTGTAACGTAATTCTGTGTGTATATAGAAAACGTATAATAACACACAACCGCGAGTCTAAATATATAATGTGGTCTTAAAAAAAAAATATCACACGATTTAAATTTTTCACATATTTTATTAATATTGTACATACGGATAAAATATGAATTTACATATTTATTGTCGAATTTAGTGCGTGAACGCAAATCGTACACTAATCAGCGTCTCCGCTATGTACGCAAATGACGTTTGTAGACAGGGCGTTTTTTCAGATTTGCATAACCTTTACCGTGTCTAGTGAGGGGAAAAATATTATTTTTATTTTTAAAACTGGTTTACAATGTTTTACTAACATTAAAATGTGAACACGTGTAAAGATCACCGAGGTCATCGAATTGGTGATAAATACTAAGCTTTTAGTTCAATTGTTTTACTATAAATTCACAAACGTATATAATATATTGTTTAATTCAAAACAAACGATATAGGGGTGCATTTCATAAATAAAATCGGTTAATGGTCAACTACAGAAAATAAAACACCGATATAATATTATAACATAGACTATAGAGTGTATGTGGCATATAGATATAGTCAAACATTTTAAAATCTATTCGTATCAAGCTGACAAATATATTAAAAAAAATAGTACGTTTTGTATACATTCATGTTAAACTTTTATATTTAACATTTTACATCTACTTTTATATCTACTTTAATATCTAAAAAATAACCTAACGTTTGTAATGTAACATCGACACGTTCTATATTATATTATCTGTAATTACTATACTTATAAATTATATATATAAGTTGTAATATACAAATTTGTTTGAATGTAACGTACAATTTGTTAATGCATAATAGTATACAGTGTGTTTAGACAGTTATATAATCCACGAATTTATTAGTTTAATATCTATAATGATTTATGATGATTCTAGATTTTTAAAAAAATCTGTTAGTTCACTGAAGTCTATTTTTTATTATTTTTTTTATTCAATATGAGCCTTGAGATCCGATCTCGCCCTATAACACTTCGTACTTAAATTATTGCATACAAAACGTAATTAAATCCTAGTAGTATTTTAAATAATATTATTCTTAAATTATAAAATGATGTGGTGAATGAACTAAATATTTAATACCTTTTATACCACTATAATAATATAAAACTATTAGTATATAATATATAACTATAGTACTATTGCTTGGTTAAATCTATATTATTCATTATGAACGTATATGTTACAAATGTTTCTCGTACCATCGTCCATTCTAATGAGATTATGTATAATTGGTATAATATGTATATTATATTACATTTGTGTCTTTGGCTCTGTGTGCGACTACGGTGCCGACAGTTGCGTACGGGCCAAAGGCGTGTGTGTCAGCACCATGAGTGACTACGGTTATAGCACCTACGGTTATAGCACCTACGGTCATAGCGACGGCAGTGGGGTTTACAAAAAAAGGGTTTGTGGCCACGAACCGGTCATAAACCCGACGGGCATCATTAGAGCGGCCGCATGGATGTTGGACAATCGTACAATCGCATGGTGGTCGCTGGGCAATGCATTACTACGGCCGTGGAAGACACCTTACGGCTTGGCATTCGTACCAAGGATATGGGTGGTGATAAGACCTGCCCGCAATTGACCGACGCAATTGTCAAGAAAAGGAGGGACTTGATGAATATCTATAATGATTTATGGTGATCCTAGATTTGAAAATTTTTAAAAATCTGTTTGTTCACTGAAGTAAATAATTTCATTAAATAATGAAATCTTTGTTAAGTTCTGTAAATATGAATATTATAATACTAATAATAATAAAAATATTAAAATCATGAAATATAATCTAGATAAAATTCCAATTAAAGGAAATATTTTAATTGTCGATCATGGACACAATATTTCTGGAAATGGAAAGCCTTATGCTTCTAAAATACTAGAATCGCCAACGTGGCTTGAAATTTGTAAAATAGCTAATGATTTAATAAATACAACCGGTACTTATTTTTCCAAATATCTCCACGATATTTGTGTTGTTCAAGATTTAGGAAATATTAAAATATGTTGTCTTGGCATGGGAGGTACAGATTCCGATCACAAAATGCTTAAAATATAACTATATTATTAATTTAATTTTTAATAGAATTGTTCTATTAAAAAAAATGTTCAATATTTAACTCGTCCCCGAATGGAGCACGCGTTATTAAAATCCAAAAATCTTTAAAAATGATTTTACACTATGATACTATGAGGAGGACTTATACAGAATTTGTAAAGAACTTATAAAGAACTTGGATGTCTGAATTATAAAATGTATCTGATTGGCCAACGACCCAATTTCTTTTATTGTTAATACTTTTAGTAGGTAGATAATACTCATCCGTGTATGATAATACTACACTATGTCTATTATTTACACTTATAGTATAGTGTGTTATACAAATTACTTTGTAGCTTATCTAATATCTTTATACTATTATGTGTTTCTATTCCTTTCCACCACCTAGTACAGAGATACGCTATATTATATTTCGGTCCAGTAACGGTGAAAATTGCCAAAAAATCCGATGAACCGTATCAACGAAACTAAAACTTCTGTAAATTCTTATATACGTTTGATCTCCCCTCATAGGTACTTGAAAATCGACCTGTGAAACTTATTTATTTTACATAGTAGGTTATATAAAATGACCGCTAATGAGTTTGAATATTTCTATAATTCGGCTGCCATAATATTTTTCTTTGTCGCCCACGTCATTTCACGCTCTACAAATTGTGCACATCTGTGAGTATTGTGTATTTGTGTATACAATAATATGCCAGTTATATGTCTAAAAAAAAAATATAGTAAACAAATGAAGAGTAACGATGTAAGATTAGCAGAAAATATTAGCGTTGATAAATAACTATATTTTCAATAATAACATAGGTACTGTTACTGTTGAGATTCCTGCTGATATAAGAAGGAAGACTTATAAGATGAAAGAAAAATTTTGGTTAGGACATGATCAAATTAAAAATTAACATCTGCGGGTTAATGAGTTTTATTCACAAAGTTGACTTCCGTAAGTTCATGTTCATTCAGTAAAAATTATTAAGGTTTACAGAAGTCATATGAATAATGATAGATGTACAAATAACAAAATATAACTTTATATTTAACATAAACTCCTATACGAGATTCATGATATAAGTATAAACATAATATATTTTATTTAAATTTAAATAGTAAATTTGTTTTGATTTTTTTGTTTTAAGTTGACAATGCTTTTCCTACAAGGAATTTATTGCAACCATTAGTAAATTGGATTATCCCATGTTCGTACTTCGTAGTATGATTATGTGACCTAAGTTTTTTGTCAATATATCGAAATTACTAAAACACTCACAAAACAGATAGGTATGGGATAATAATAAAGATAATGATATGAATATATGATATAATATAGTTGTGGTTATGTGGTTATTTTAATAACATTTGTTATTATAATATAATCATAAATATTAATTATATAATCTTCAAATGTATATAAGTTCTTACATATTTTATATTAGTAAAAGTATAGATTACCTGATTCCCTATAATATTATACAAATGACTATGGCTTGGTTATCGCTTAATAATATTAAATATATATTCCTACTTTTTTTTTTTTCACTTGTTCCAGTCATTAAATAATACACAGTACGTATCTACTATGATTAATTGATATTTGTAGGTAAAAAGTGAATTATGCGGTACATGATTTGCAGCCTTAAATCGTTATTTTATGCTTTAGTCAATTCTTAAGCCTATAGAGAATCTACTTAAATAGACACATAATATTATATACGTCTTAATATAATCCATGTAATAATGTATCAGGGCCAAGCTATGGTGAGGATAGGTTGGTATAGTGGATAGATCCCCCTTGACCTTTTTAAAAAAAAAGATGTTTTACATTGTAAGAAAATATTCATACATATACTTATGGGAATTTTTTTAACGCTGAACATACAAGCGACTGTATTTGCCATTTAACTGTTTTGACGACGAATGTCAAATAACAATATAATAATTAAGCTCGAAATTTCCAATACGATTCTAAATTGATATCTTGGTAAGATATATTATAGGTACCTACTATGTACCTACACAATTAATAATTATGTAAATTGAGTTGGTACTTATACTGATATAGGAATCTCTGCCGTCAGCGATGCCAAAAAGAATAAGTACCTACCTATAATACTGATATAATTTGTTTAATACCGTTTTTGATTTTTTTATTAAATTAAAATTGATTATCTCGGAAAACATTTATTTTTTAAATTACATTTTTATTATTGTTACATTATCAATTTCAATCGGATTACGTATTTATATATATAGCATTGGTACTTAATATCTGTTATATTTATATACCTGACAAATAATGTAAATGTGTAACAAATATTTGATTATAAAATCCAGATTTATGAAAAACCTACAAATGTCCTATAGTCAAATTATTGAATTTTATTCTATGAAAAGCGTGTAAGTGGATGTCGCTCTGCTGTATAGTAGGTTACAAGTGGCCAGTGGGTCAATGTATAATAGATTGTATTAAACTTAAATCCAATTATATAATATCATTGTATAAGAAAAACAATTCTGAGCGGAGACGGTTTGTCAGTCTGGATATTTTATATTATTATTTATTATAGACTGTAAGTTGAATTAATATTATAGTATTATTATTATTATTTTTTTATTCGTTTCTATGGTGATACACAAAGCGTTAGAAATTGAAATCCCGTTTTATCAATTTTTCGTAATTTGTAGGTGGTTTTTCCCGTGGCATTAAATAACTATTGAGAAAATCGAAAAATGACTTCTGTGAAGTACCATCTTGATGCAATTTTCTAAAAGATAAGATACTATATGTTGAAATCGAAGCATTGCTTCTAGTAGAAATTTTATATACAGGATAAAAAAAAAATAAAAATAAACAACATTGTAAAACCACTAGCTTCCTCGCTCCGCTCAGAATCTAAAATACGAGTACAGTTGATTCACTTTTTTGAAATTACTTTATGTCGAAAAATAGAGAGTAATTTTCAATTCTATCTCCTCTTTATATTATGAATGTCAATGAAAACTATTGTGTGATTTTTCCCCTTAAATAGGTTTAGATCGAATAACTTAGATAAAGTAACACCGGGAGGAAATGTGTGTACCATGTGGAGTTTTGGGATTATACGCATTTAATCATTTCAAAACACATGATACATAAAATGAAATATCTAATAAAAGGAAAACGGTAGATCTTTTAGTAATAATATCCACCTTCACTTTTCTTTCTCACAAAAATATTATTTATTTTATTTTGTATAAAGGTGAACATTTTTTATACAAATATTCAGTAGACATAATTACATAAACTATTTTCAAGTACCTAATTGATTTACGTATACATTAGCGAATAGCAATAGTCACGGCAGTTCACATTATTCTAAGTAGTACAAAAAATCTCAAGAATTTGAAAATAGTATGGTCTTTAGTAAGTATATTTAAAAATTCCAAAATTCAGATTTTAAATAACTGCATTATTAAAGAAAATGGGGGGTGAGCAATGAGCATCATGCTTGGTTTATCACTCTGTATATTATAGAGTTGTATTTTATGTTTGTTCATTTTTTCCTGGTTGAAGTAGGATTTTACAGCTATCTACTATATTACATCGAAGGTCTAAAACCGATGAACCTTATACAAATCCACAGTTTTTGACCGATTTTCATAACATTTTCGTTAACAGATTCAAGTAGATCCACAAGGGTGAAACCGGGTTATTCAGCTTGTTTATTATAAGGTACTGCAAATTACAAACTATACTAAATAAAAATTAAATATAATTAATCTTATAAAATAAATATTGTGATCATAAAATATGAGAACTACAGTATGCGTCATTCAAAAAATATATTTAAATAATGTTCTTTTTATAGTGACAAAAACTACTATTGTTGGAATTCCACCATGTAACATTTAAGTGAAGACAAGTTTGACGGGTATTGCAATAGGGAGCTGGTTGACAAATCTTACATCCAATATTCCAATTTAAAACTTTTGAAAAGCGTATTAAATTCATCGCCCGCATCAAGCGAAAATCTGTGGTGTCATTACTAAATGTTTTTGGAACATGGAAATATTTATAAATTAACTTACGTTAATACCGAAACAAATTCTTATGTACCCACACATAAATAATAATTTGTATCTAATAAATGGCATTGTTTAAATAGAAGATTACGTAATTCAAACAAAAACAATATACTTAATAAACGTGAGAAATCTCATATAGCGTAGACATTATATTATTATTATATTATTATTCGAACACTGAAAAGGATATAATATCCAACAATTCTATTATTCTGTATTTAATATATTATTATTGAACTACGAAATATTGTTTTTTTTTTTAAATCTATCTTTTTTATGATTTATGGAAATATACTGATGCATAGGACTCAATAGGAGTATATGTACACTATTTAACTATTTATAAATGTATGATTTAAGACTTTATGAGCATAATAATTATGTATACTAGTGACTAGTGTGTGTGTGTGTGTGTGTTTACAACATTATTCGTTGTTCAAATTTTATATTTTAGAAATAAA